TTTCGCGGGAAAAGAAGCCTAAAAATAGACTGGTCTGTAAAAATGTCGTGACATAGGCTTAGTAAGGGAGTTGCACGCTCCTAGTGATGGGCTCCTGATCATATAGAATGCTGCTGGTTCATAATTCACACAAATTCTTTATTTGTAGCAATGCCATCCAAAATCACAATTAAAGTCTCCGCCGCTAAAAGTCACATGTGCATGTTTTGCGGAGAAAAACAGTCAAAGCTCTCCAGACACTTGATGAGAAAACACAAAGACGAAAAGATTGTGGCAGAGGCGATGGCTCTCAAGGATGGGTCAAGGGCGTTTGAGAGAATACGTCTTAAGGGAGACTATCATCACAATTGCAACGTTTTGGCCCTCGGCGAGGGAGAGATCATCGTTGTGCGAAACCCCGCAGGAAAACACCCGTCCAATGCCTCGTCATTTTTACCCTGTCCAGATTGCCTGGGTTTCTTCAAAGCGGACGAGCTTTGGCGTCACAACAAGCGCTGCGTGCACAAAACATCAGAGACTAAGAAATGGAAGAAGGTGCAGCGTGAAGCCAAGCTTCTGCTACCGACTGGTTCGATCTCAACGGCAGATGAGGACAAGGAGCTATATTCGAGTGTACTTTCTGCCATGAAGAACGACAACATCTCCTTCGTGGCCAAGCACGATAAGGTAATTTTGCAGTTTGGAGCTGCAATCCTGGAAAAGGTGGGGAGGAAAAACGCCAACTACGTATCGCAAAGGATGCGTCAGCTGGCCAGGCTTCTGATGGTACTGCGGGCGAGAAGCCATGAGGAGGAGGCGGCGCTACAAAACTACATTGACACCGCAAAGTTTGACGAGCTGATTGAGGCGGTCAAAGAGTTGTGTGGATTCGACCAGGAATCCCGATTGAATGTAGGGATTCCTTCTCTAGCCCTTAAGCTTGGGCACAGCATCAAGCGCTGTGCCCAAGTCGTTAAGTGTTCTGCCCTGCGGAGCGAAGACGAGATTGTGATCAAGAGGGCGAAGCGTTTTATTGACCTTTTTGAAAGCGAGTGGACCGCTAAAATCAGCTCGCGGTCCCTCGCTTCATTAGGGTCAAAAAAACAAAATAAAGTCGATTATCTACCCCTCGCAGAGGATCTTACTAGATTAAAAGATCATCTAGATTCCAAGATGGAGTCTTTATCATCCGCCTTGACAGCAGAAGGCTCTACCGTTAACGTTGAACAGTGGGCCAACCTAGCCAAGGCAACCTTGACCCGTATAATACTATTCAACAAGAGGAGATCCGGGGAGACCGCTACGCTTCAAGTTACCCAGTTCGTAAATCGCCCAAATTGGAGCGGCTGCAGGAGCGATATGAAGAAGTCTTTGTCGCCTTTAGAAAGGCGACTATGTGAAAGGTAACAAAAGTTAGATCATGACCGAAATAAGCAGAATAGATGAACACAAGAAAGTTCCGTGTTCCCATCATTTACTGAATGAATGCCGAAAAAAAGTAACCTGTGCAAAATTCAGTCAAGATATGTAAGAAAATAAAATAAGGTCAAATAAAGAATGCTAATTGATCTTTTAATTCTTTGATATTTAGAAAGAGAATAAACAACTATATGAGAAACCTAAGTTCTAGTTTTGTTCCACACATGCGGAGATCGTTAATGTTTACAATGAATTTTTGTACAGTGAAATTCCGATTTCTCGAACCAAAATTCATTTCGCTTCGGTATGCTTCACTGTTATTTTACTCCTATATTTCACATTGTCTACTGAACGTTAAATCTTCAGGTTAGATCTTATTGAAATCACCGGTAAGAGGAATAGAAAGGTGCCAATCCTTTTGACTCCAGGGACGAAGTCAGCGATTGAGGTGTTGATAAAAACACGGCCGGACAGCATTCCGAAAGAAAACACCTTTGTTTTTGCAAGGGCTACCAAAGGGTCTGTGGACCATCTGAGAGGCTGGGACTGCGTGACGAGCAATGTCAGAGAAATTGAAGGATCTCTCCGTCAGCCAAAGTCGATCACCAGCACCAAACTGCGCAAATATATAGCCACTGTATCACAGACAGCAGCGTTGAGTGAAGTTGATATCGATTGGCTAGCGCGCCATCTTGGCCACGATGTGCGCGTGCATCGTGACTTCTATCGCCTCCATCATTCCACAACGGAACTAGCGAAAGTCAGCAAACTGCTCCTTGCTGTAGATTCAGGGAACCTGGAAAGAATAGTCGGAAAGAACCTGGGGGATATGTCAGTGGAAGGTACTTAAACACAAAGTTTATTCATTGTTAACGTTATCTGGACATAAATCTAGCAAAAATAGCTGAAAAAAAACACGTGGACTCAAGAATTCTTAAATTTCGCAGATTTGATTCAACAAGATGTTAACGAATTGAATATTCTTATTAACAGATATCCCGGACATTAATGACACCGGCAATGAGTCAGAAGGTGGGTCAGATACGGCATGTATTTTGCATATCACCAGCGTCATTGCAACGATATAAAGTGCGATAGTAACTACAGTATTCTCGTTTTCAGTACCAAGAATCGAGACCGATTTTGTGAGCATGCGCAGAATCCGTCTGTCATGCGCAATTCTTGGAGCTGACTAGGAGAATCGTAATGGAGAGTAACAAGTCGTGTTTTTGTAATAACGAATCAGTACTATGCGCCTTACGAGACGTAAGGCAACAGATTGTAGGGTGAGACAATAATTTCTCAGAATATTTTTTTGTAGTTAGAAAGAGTATTATTATTTGTCATTAATTATTATTGCCATACAACGATGAACAATCTATTTCTGGACAACTTTTTTTATAAAGTTTAAACTGTGCATGAGAATTGTCCTGCTCACTGTGGATATGAAAGGTAGTAGGATAAAATATTTTCCAAAGTTCCAATCCACCGTAAACATCTGCAATCTTTTTCCTCGAATCATTAGGTCCGTTACTACATGTTACCGCTAAACAAGTTTTTAAAACTAAAGTATTTTCGGAGTAGCCACTTCATTCGAGCTGGAAGAAATCGTTATTTTCTAAAAGTTAGATACTTCATGCCCGTTTTGACACCTTGTCCGCAAAGTGATCCAGGGTTGGTGTATGCTAAATGCAAGACTTTTTCTTTGTGAGCCCGAGACATTTTGACTCCTTCAATTGCGAGACCAAGACTAAATACATAGCTCGAGACGTTCAGATTCTAAGATGCTCAGACGTCATTTATAAAAAGAGCAAAGAAAATATTACTTCGAGACTGCGGGTTACTAACGTCGACAAAGTGGCGCCTCCAGGGAAGAAAACGAATACTGTATGTCGTAATTTTCTAGGTTTTTTTTTCGAGGAATATTTTCTTTAATGTCACAGTTTCCTTGAAATTATACTCAGAACATAATGGTCATAATCTATGCCTGGTTTTAGAGCCCTTTCATTCCCCCCCGAATTGAAATGGACGGGGATCACCGTTATGACACTTTTCAAGGTTTTCTTAATTCCTTCATTTTAGAGTCCTCCTCGGCAGAAGACGACGATGCCAATCAAAGTAAGTGTTTGGACACGTGGACCAGGCATTCGAGAACTCAGCGGTTTGAAAGAAAGAAAACCTTTATATGAGCCCCTTTCATCATTTTAAGTTGTTTTATTTAAGATCATATCCGTTTATCTTCGGTTAACCCTTAAACTGAGGCAACCTATATCCGCCCACCTACCGCCGCTATTTCACGGGTCGTTCCCTGTCTTACCCCTCCCCCCCTCAACCCTTCCCACCTCGGGCATAAAAACATAACTAAGTTCCCTCCCTCTGCCTCAGAGGATGGTTATGTTGTAAAAATCTATGTTGGTTTTGATTTATAATATCAATTATCGTTAATCTCATGCTAGTTCTGGAAAACATGGAAAACTACAAAACTCACTTCAACTTCACTTCGTTTTTCTTTGCAGATTCTTTTTTAGATGATGATGGTGAGAAACTAATTAAATGAATGCAGGCTAGGAGCAATGTCCCGCTATTCTCTTTTCACGTTATAAATAAATAAAGACTATGTGTGCAGGTGTTTTTAAGGAAGAGTTAGCTATTCATTTGCCTAAATCTGATTGGATTAAATTCCCATCGTTGACTGCTGTATATGAACGGAAAGGGGCGTGCTAATTTGATTGAAAATTAAAATTTTGACTTCCTTTTTCGTTGTCAAATTTATTCAGAGCAAATACTGAAAATATTCGTTTTAGGTCCTCTTAGTGGTTTGAAACGACAGAACGGTGCGAGAAGCTGTGCGCCCGAGACTAACAAAGGTACGGTGTACTAACCTTCAATTTCCTTTACACTATGCCAAACGTGCACTTTCAGCATTACACGACCCTCCATTTCCGTTTTGTTTTGGTATATTCCAGATCCTCCCCGAAGCTCTCCGAACCTCTCCGATGCTCAAAGCGTGAGTCGGAATAACAAAAGTAAGTTCACAAACGATTGCATAGCATGCATCTAGTTGATATTAAATAAAAGCAGACTGACGGGAAAATGCTTCTATTACTATTTCGTTAGGTAGTTGTGTAGAGTTAGGAATAGGAATCTGATCAGTTAAAACAGGTGACAGGTCCAAAAACCCTAATCATTTTAAGGCAAAAGTATAGATCATTTGTTATGAACAGAAAAATTTAAACTTAGAACAGTTGCATTTACAATTTGACCATGTTTATTTTCAGGTCCTCAAAGAAAGAAAGTGCCAAAAACTGTGCCACAGAGTCCCAGAAGTGAGTTGATAAAAGCAGACAAGAAAGTATTCGATACATATACAAAACATTTACTGGGGAGAAAATAGTTCAACAAAAGCTAATTATCTTGAGGTTGCGCTTCAATGATAAACTGAATAATCATGCAGAGCCAAGAAAATGCAAATTTAAATCCTATCAAACCAACAGACTTACAAAACAAAAACCTCAATCTCCTGTCTTGAACAAATCACGGAAGACAACTATACCGCAGAACCACATTAAAGGAGCTCAGTCACGATAATTTGAGTTATTTTGGCCACATACAAAATTACCTTTAAATTGAAGGGAACCTGAAAATAACAGTTTAGTAAGATAGAAAAACATCAAAGAGATAATGATAAACCATAAAGGAACAAGGATGGCTAAGGATGGAGAAGTTTAACACGGATTACAAACGATGAATTTGAAAATTTGAGGCCAAACTTTTCAATATGCGCAAACCGTGACTGAGCTCCCTTAAGCCAATGATGAAATTATACCACAAAAAAGGATACAGTCAAACCTCTATTAGGCAGTCACTTGTACTAACATACATACGTAGATAAACTTTATTGAAACTCAGAAATCGCTTCCCTTGATAACCGTAAAGTCGACTTCCATTTTAAGCGGTCCAACAGAACTGTCTCTATTGTTTTGCCCTGTATTAAACGTTCACTATACACAAGGAAACAATTCAAAGATATTAAATAAAATTAGAAATGACAAAAAAATAATGGTATTGAGTGCAGACAAAAATGATTTCATTCCAATGCAACATTCAAGGTACGTACGTCGTATTAAGCGGTCAAGCTTTGGCCATTCCTCTGCTGGTGCCACTTTAAAAATAGAGCTTTGACTTTAATTTCTCCTGCCAAGGTTTGAAAATCTGAAAAGTGAAATCGTTAGTTTTGTGCTTTCATTTGCAGACTGCGAAAGATGATAAATTCGGAGTTGTCCCAGGAAAAATTTCCCGCGAGAAAAAAATAGGCGCTAATCGAGTGTGTAAAGCACTTCAATAAACAATAACATAAATAATCATGACTATATAAATAAATTCTTGCATCTGATTAGTTATCAGCAACCCTGATTATTGGACAGTTGCGCTTGAATGGGTTCCTTTTCCAACTGAATCTCGGAAAGTAAATGCTGTCTTCTTCACTTTGGTATCTTGTTACAGTTATGATTAATTGGTAAAAGGACAAATCGCAGTCTCACGATTTCTTTTTCACTCAGTCCTGACGGTAACGATACGGGTTAACATGGTCAGACGAGAAAAATGACTACATGCTAATGTTACTCACACTGCACGGGCGCTTTTTCATTACTGTATTTCAGGTCCTCGCCATAGTTCAGATGGACAGAAAGCTTCTAAATATGTGGCGCCAAGAAGTAAAAGTAAGTTGATACCCGACGAAGGAATCACGAGCGTTTTTTCCAGTGGTTTTTAGGCAAAACGTATGTGTAGGTGATCAACACTGTTGAAAATGTTGTTGTAACAATTGGCGTAACGATGTGAAACTTGCAAATATTTAACGCAGTTTATGTGTAACTATTGCATTATATGTTCGCCGGCAAAGAAAGAGGAAAAAACGATCAATTTGGGTAAAATCATGGAAAGCCACAAGAGACGAAGAGGGAGCATTTTTGACGGTGCTTGCGGTAACCTCACCGCTTGCTTTGGTTCTGTTCTCTTAAAATCTTCGCAGTCCAACTTTTCCCATTCAGCTATTAGCATCTCTTCTTCGTCAACTTCCCATGTGTGCTTTTTTCTGCGGACTTTCAGGTTTCCTTAATGTTTCCGGCCATTGTGGTATGACGAAAAACACAGATACTGATTTCCCCTGAGGGGACCCCTGGTACACATTTTAGCAGTTATCTAAAGAAAATCGCAGCAAAATCGCAGTGAAATTTGCATATTCAAAATACCTGCTCTCTTCTCCGCAGAGGCCTCTTTCGTGCTGTTTTGACCGTAAAGGCTTCTTGGCCGTAGGCTGGTAGTTCGGAGGCTGGGAAGAGGGAAAAACGGAAGCGCGCGGGGAATGCCGGGAAGGAGAAAGAGAGAAAAGGGGCTCCCGCCCTTTCCCTCTTCCCATCGTTCCCCGCGCGCCCTCCTAAACCCAATATTATTATTTAATTTCCCATATAAGGAGCCTCTGCGGAGGAGAAAGAAATCGCATTAAAATCGCATGGATTTTATACGAGTGATTTTGCGTCACGATTAAGTCGCCGTAAAAATCGCATCCAAAGTAAAAGTAAAATTCGCTCGTGTGAACGGGCCTTAAAACTGTATTTCTTTCAGTCAGTTTTGTCAATTCTCGGGTTCTGTAAGCACCGTGACCCCGATGGACATGTTTTGAACCTTCGGCTGGCGTTTGTTCGGGCCCTGAAAAAAAGTATGGTGCATTGTGTCTTCCCAAGATAATCTACAGAAGTCCCGTGCCTCACGTCACTATCAGTTCAGAAAACTTAATCGTTTTAAAAATATACTAAGCAGTTATGTGCTTCCGTTTTCAGGACAGACAGTAGTGAAACAGCGATGGACAAAAGAAGAGAAAAGAGCGATCCTGGGTCGTCTAGGGCGTTTCATAACTTCGGGTGTTGTGCCAGGAAAAGGGCCATGTAAGGAATGTATTAAAAGGAGCCACGGGGCCCTGAGCAGTCGCTCATGGACGGCTGTGAAGTATTTTGTGAAGAACGAGGTTGATAGACGAAAACGGCTGGTCAACAAATCATCAGTTTAAAGCGACGCCCTATACAGGCAAACAAACAAGCGTGTGAGAATTTGATTCTTTTAGGATAAAATGGTACACAAACCAAGGTGAAGTTTTCATTGGCGAGTGAGCAAACAAAAGAGCTGACATAGCTGCTTTAGACTGATGATTTGTCAATGTTCAGTCGTAATAATCCTATATATTTACGCGACTCCTCCCTTCATTGATTGATTGCATGGGCACACAGCGGGTCTGTTAGCTTTCTTATCTAACTAGGCTTTTCGGCGACGTTTGAATACACCGGATCCAAAACAAAAAAGAAAAACAAACAAACAAAAAAGGTTAAAACAAGCGGACTTCTTGAGGGTTCAGGTCTGCGAGAATGTTTTTTTTTTTGTTTTTTCTTCTCCGGAAATGTTGAAAATTGGACTGTCTGAAACGCCGTCATTGCTGCGCCCTTCAATAACATGCGGATTCTGAAATTCAAAGCTCAAGCGACGAATGCGTTTTCGCTAACGTCAATCAAATGTTCGGCGGCTCCTCCCAGCTTGCTTCTGTGAAAACGATAGTTTTCAGCGTAGAATATAATCTTTAAATTCCCCGAGTGCGAGGGCTTTCCCTGCCCTTGGGAAATTTCACGGTTTTCAATTATTTCTTGACGCATTATTAAACTTTGCGCCTGAAAAAGATCGCTCAGATTGAATTGTCATTTAAAATTTCAACGTTTTTAAAAGTCAAGAAACCGTAAATGTCCTTTGTTTAGACTTCTCAGGAATTTAGTTATCCATTTGCATCAAAATTTTCCTCCAAAACTTTGGAAACACGAAGAAAACGTCGCCATTTCCTAGACGACCTCCAGCCACCGCACACTAATGGCTGATAGTGTTCAATGGCTCAGCCAATCAGATTACAGTATTTGCAGTAGTATACTTGAAGAATTCTACTAATGGTTGATAGTATACGAGTAGCTCACCCAATCAGATTGCAAAATTTGCAGAAGTATACTAGTAGAATTCTACTAATTAGTCGTCACGCGCTATTTAAATACATTTTTAGCGCCTACACGCGACCCTGTGCGCGCTGCAGTCTTGTACTCCTGGGGACCACAGCGCTCGGAGAACTCCCCATAAAGCATGGGAACTAGTCCCTTATCGTTCTATAATAGGCCCTTTGCACGATCCGGTCACATGGTACGGAATTAATGATGGTGGGACACAAGTTACACAGTTGGACTTTCAAAACAAAGGAATCGAAAGGTCGGGCTGGAATGGTACGAGTTCCTTTGTTTTGGAAGTCCCACTGTATAACTTGCGTCCCACCATAATTAATTCCGTACCATGCGCAAAGGGCCTATTTTATAAGACCTGATTTTTTTCAACTAAGTTTATATTTCTCTACGATTACCTCGTCCGCATTTATGTAATCACTCCTCTGATTTTACAAGCGATTCAACAATTATATTTTCTTTCGTTCGTGTTTTCAAATTGGAGTTGATTGTGCGTGTTACTAGGTCAAATGGTAGCCTTGGCAGTGTATTACATGTATTTTATTTTTTTGGTGCCTGTTAAGCAAGTCAGACACTGGGCTGCGTGTTTGGCAGACATAATTGCATCCAACCTCGTTCCTAGAGACAGTGGGAACAAAGTTGAATTGCATTTACAGTCAGACCTTTATTATGCGGACCATTCTCTACTAAACGGATGCGGTCACCACTTAGACTCCACAAGTAGCTAACTTTATTACATTTCACCTCTATTTAAACGGTAAATCTTTATGAAGCGCCCAGTTGACTATTTCCCCTGGGCGACAACTTAATAGAGGTTTGACTTGTACTTGTTTTGTACGTTTTGTTAGCTATAGGCCTGTTATGTTAAGCTAGGCTGTTACATTGCTGTAGCAATAAGCGGATTTCTTTTCGATGACTCTCACAGATGTGAGGTGTGGTTTATTGTTGTCCAAATGTTGACTCCCGGGCGGATACTACACGAAGTTCTATGCGGGNTCAGCCAATCAGATTACAGTATTTGCAGTAGTATACTTGAAGAATTCTACTAATGGTTGATAGCATACGAGTAGCTCAGCCAATCAGATTGCAGAATTTACAGTAGTATACTAGTAGAATTCTACTAATTAGTCGTCACGCGCTATTTAAATATATTTTTAGCGGCTACATGCGACCCTATGCGCGTTGCCGTCTTGTTCTCCCGGGGACCACAGCGCTCGGAGAACTCCGGTCACCTGGTACGGAATTAATGATGGTGGGACACAAGTTACACAGTTGGACTTTCAAAACAAAGGAATCGAAAGGTCGGGCTGGAATGGTACGAGTTCCTTTGTTTTGGAAGTCCCACTGTGCAACTTGCGTCCCACCATAATTAATTCCGTACCATGTGCAAAGGGCCTATTTTATAATACCTGATTTTTTTCAACTAAGTTTATATTTCTCTACGATTACCTCGTCCGCATTTATGTAATCACACCTCTGATTTTACAAGCGATTCAACAATTATATTTTCTTTCGTTCCTGTCTTCAAATTAGGGTTGATTGTGCGTGTTACTAGGTCAGATGGTAGCCTTTATTAAGCGGGCCACTCTCTATTAAACGGAAGCGGTCACCACTTAGACTCCACAATTAGCTAATTTTATTGCATTTCACCTCTATTTAAACGGTAAATCTTTATGAAGCGCCCAGTTGACTATTTTCCCCTGGGCGACAACTTAATAGAGGTTCGACTTGTACTTGTTTTGTATGTTTTGTTAGCTATAGGCCTGTTATGTTAAGCTAAGCTGTTACATTGCTGTAGCGATAAGCGGATTTCTTTTCGATGACTCTCACAGATGTGAGGTGTGGTTTCCTCACCCTTTCATATACCTGAACTTGTGAAATCATTACCCTTTTATACACCTGCTGAGTGAAGCCTGGAAAAGCCTCCCTGTATAAGCCATTTTAGGGAGTACCCCTCGGCTGTTGACTATACAGTGGTATTAAATCGTTTTTGTCATGCGGTTTACACGCGAGCTTTGCTTTGCTTCTTCAGCATAAATAATCATGCGTTAAAAACGGCGTTAAGATGTAAATGAGGCCTTTAAAAATGAACGAGAGTCCCACTAGAGATTGGCTAAAATAATGCGCACCTCTGGAATCTGGATGTGCTCATTAATAGAATTCTGGTCACGCCTCCAGAAACAATCTTCGCCACCACCAGGACTGCGAACAGCGGTTCACTATCTGTACATCATCGAGATCAAATTC